CAGTTTAGCTAGATAAAAACTACAAGCATTGCTACACTGTAATCAACTAAGCAGTGCAAAACAAAAACTACATGATATTGAATGACAAATGAAAATATTATTAGAAAAGTCATAGTTAGGCGGGTTTTTCACTTATTGCAAATCATTTCTTTACTGGTTATTCGTGCTACTCCAATAAATAGTTTAGTTAGTACTCGCAGTCTCTCTCTCAGGAATAAATTACTATAAGCAACTTAAAATGTGTTGGTTGCTTACTGTAAAGTGTAAACTAGGAATGGGGTCTCCTAAATTGATTCCCTACCCAATATATATATATATATATATATATATATATATAAAGAGATTAACCGATATTCATCCTAAGCATGGTTTTAAATAGAAGTGGCAAAATGGATAAATGGTTGATAAATGATTTTAGTTAAATGGATAGTGGATCAAATTGATCCAATCCAATTAAAACCATTTAATAAATGGATCTAAATGTATGTCATTTAAATGGATAGTGTAAACCATGATCCATCCATTTATCCATTTACTCTCCCAAATCCTAAATTTAAGATCCAAATATTTTTTTTCCAGAAAATATAGATCCCCAAATTTCTATTCTTAAATCACCTAAAATCTTTTGGTAATAACAAATGCTTGTACTACTACTCTATTTCGGTTCTTCATAAAATTAGTTTAGTTCCAAGAAAATTTAACTGCTGTGGTCAATTTAACCTTTCGTCGTTACTTTAAGTATCATTTTGTAAAGTAATGAACAATTAAGAACTTGGCTACATTTTTATAATTTTTGAATGAATTGAATACGGCTTTACAGTGAAAAGAAGTTTATGTTTCTAATTTTTTGCACTCCTGTTCAAGAGTGATGTCTTGAATAAAAGTGGAATTCTAATAAGAAATCTTATGTTATTTGACAAGTAAAATATTTTCATCACATGTGCACGTAGTACCTAAAAATATATGAAACTCCTTATTATACCATTGATATACAACCTACCTTATATCACTTAGTAAATTAGGTGTCTTTTTTTTTGGATTGTTGGGTTGGGTGATAAGGGGAGAGGGATTGCAAGTATGAGGATTTGGAAAAAAAAAAGGTGTCATTTACATATCTTAACCAATGTTGCGGGGACACTCGTTAGAAAAATTCTTTTTATAAATAAAAGAATTAAAAAAATAAAAAATATTTTGACACTGCATGATGCATTCTCGCTTTTTCTTTACTTAAGAATATAAATGTTTGCAATCATTACTACGTGAGAGTTTAATTAAAAAAAAAAGAGTAGAGACTAAAATATAATTTTGAAAAGGATGGAAGAAGCCTAAGAACTAGAAGCAAATAAAATGCAATTAATGTTATTTACAACTTGGCATGTGAGGAAGTTATGAAGAAAAGAATAGGTGGTCCCACAAAATTAATTTGACATATGAGAAAGTTACGAGGAAAAGAATAAATGGTCCCACAAGATTTTATCTCGCATTTTTATAAATGTGTTTTCTATTTTTTAAGTTAAATGGATGTATATGGATAAGATGGATAATCCATTTAAATCCACCAATATAATTGGATTTAAATGGTTATCCATTTAAAACCATTGAATTTATATGGATCATCCAAATCCATTTAAGGTTGGTTTATATGGATGGATTGGTGGATATGAATCCATTTTGCCACTTCTAGTTTTAAACCAGCTCAACCTTGATGGTTGAACCGGTTAGAGTTCCATCAATCTACTATCCAGTTTGATCAAGCCAACAAACCTAGAATTTGCCTTGACTCAGTTGAACCGGCTAGTTTGCTGCCACTAGTTGAATTAAGAACAAAGTTTTCAAATTTGGTCAAACTTCCAGATTAAATGATAATATGCATATAAATACAAACCAATTTCCAATACAATCTTATTTTCAACAAACTTATGGTAAATAACCTCATGCATTTGTGTCTTTTTATATACATTTTTTTTTTCATTTTTCTCTACCTTCCCCAAATTACACATAAGTATATTTCTCTTTTCAACTTTTGATCAAAGTCTAAGCACATATACTTTATGTCCTTTTTAAAAGGTTAATTTATTGTACTTCCTTTTTTTTTCATTTTTCTTATAGCCTTTTCACAATTTAGATATTCACTAAATATAATTAATAATCATTACCTAGTTGTGACATCATGGATTAATCATTTTGGCCCAACAATCGAACAAATAATTCTTGACCCAATAAATTTTCTAGTCAAAAAATAAATGGGTTGGATTTCAAAACCTTGGTTTTAAGATTTACTTTTGCAAAATTCATGTATATGCAGCAGTCTGTCACATGTGAATTTAATATTGTAGTCCATAATGGTGAATTCTGTCCAAAGAAGTACTACGCTGACTTGGCAAGAATTGCTTGGCCCGTCGATAGAAGGAAAGTTTGCTTGGGCCAGATCAATTTGAAAAAAAAAAAGGTCGATGGTGAGGATTACCTTTCTCAAAAAGAAAAAAAATGTAATTTGTGGATTATGTGGTGTACATCGTTTTCAAAATTGTGTGTACGATTTACAAATAATTATTTTATGTTTACAATATGTTGAAAGTGATTTACATCCTAAAGAAACAAATTCACATTTTGTCAAAATGGACAAAACTGCCCTGGGAGTGTTGCACCATCGTGTCCCCGACCATCGTTTATAGCCTTGGATATCCCTATTTTTTTTTTAATTTTTTATAATCCACAGGTATTGCATCCGTTTTACAGTCTCCGATTAATTCTATTCAATTCGTGTTGGGCCCTTTGCAGGGAAGCTCTCCTAACATTATCTTTTTCATTCTCATGAGTTTCGAACCCGAAATTTCACAGTTAAATGATGCAAGCCCTTTCTGCTTGCACCAACAGCGGATATCCCTACTATATCTAAGGAGAGCGTGACACTTCCACTGCTCACCTCTTTTCATCTCCACTTCTAGGGTTGATTTTGTCATTTTATCTGATGCTTTTCGACTATTTTTTTTTTTGGCATGGCATACTACTAACATCTACTGCAAATGTACTTGAAGTATGATTTTGCCCTCATGTCCTGCTATTTGCTTCAATTGGGTGGAGTGTATATGTATGAGTTTACTGTTCTACCCTTTAAGATGCTAATTGAGTGGGTATTGTGTACAATTTGTCTTTGGACTTTTTGGTCAATTAGTTCATTAGATTTGGCTGGTAGGGTTAATAAAAGTCAGTATTAATTTTGGTACACATAAGCTTTTACCAAGATGAAAACAAACATCCAAAAATCTAAGGGCAAAAAATCGCGGTGATCCTCAAACTTTCAACTTTGCACACTTTTAGTCCTCTAACTAATAAGTGCATAAATATAGTCCTTCAATTAATAAAAATATGTAGTCATAGTCCTTTCGTCTAATTTAACTGTTAAGATGGACAAGAAGATACAAAAATGATACAAAAAATAAAGGGATAATTTCAGAAACCTCCCTTGAGGTTTTTAACAATTTCATTTGGCTCCCTTGATGTTTTAAAAATTACACATACCTCCCTTATCATTTAAAATGACAATACTACCCTTGAATATTTAATGAAATTTCCTTGTTTGGTATGTTTATATTTAGAATGACTTTTAAAATTATTTTGTATTCTTTTCCTTCTTATTCCTTTTTTTTAAAAATTTTTGCCAATAAAACTGTAAAACTATCATTATTATCTCTAGTTTCTATTGCAATCAAATGTCCAATTAGTGATTTTTTAATGAGTTAGCTTTATATGCAATCCAATGTTTTTGCTGATTTTTATTTCTATTTTTTGGTATTAAAATTAACAATAAATCAAAAGAAAATGGTCCGAAATCACTATTAAATTATGATAATCCAACTATTTAAAAAATTCATAAACACTAAATGAATTATTTTAACATTTTCTTTTCTATTTTATAAATTTAAATCCATAATAAAATACCATCAAATGTATCCTATCATAATGATAAAATTATTATTATTGCCGTTTATTAATAGTAGGTATGAATATGAAAAATTTGGCACATTTTTCTTATAATATTACTAGATAATCTTATAATTGTATAGGGAAGTAAATTAAAACTCATTGCACAAGAGTATTTTTGGAAATTCATTTAAAAATTTGACCAAATCAATATTATTTTAAGGTTTTGTTACTAAAACTATAAAATCAAGGGAAGTAGGTGTAATTTTTCAAACATCAAGGGAGCTGAGTGAAATTTTTAGAAACCTCTAGGGAGTTTTTTGTAATTATTCCAAAAATAAATTTTATGTGAGCAATGTGTGATGTGTTTCCCGTCTGTCTTAACAGTCAGATTGGATGGAAGGACTACAACTACACATTTATATTAATTAGAGAACTACATTTACATACTTATTAATTAAAGGACTAAAAATGCATAAAGTTGAAAGTTTGAGAACCATAGCGGTTTTTTGCCCAAAATCTAATGCATCCAAATGGGGCCAAAAGGCAGAGCTCCTCTTATGTCCCACTGCTTTGTGCTACTTTTCCTTCTTGGGGATTGTTTTTCTGCTTCTGCGTTTATTTTCAACAATAATTTTCCTGTTCCTTCTTCTTATTTTCGAATATTGGTGCTTAAGATTTCATCCAATTATTTTTTTTTGCTTATATTTTGGGTTTTTTTAAACTCCTTTTAGTCCTTAGTTCCCTTATTTTGGCTCATATTTTGGGCATTTTGCTTTTACAAACTAGCGAATTTGGCCTCCTTTTGTAGAGGCTCTATCGATGATGCTTCCTGTTCTGTTCTATTAAGTTAATTTAGGCGCTGTGCTTATTTGGAAATATGAAAAAATCGGAAGAACGTCTGCCATGCTACTGCTATTCTACCTTAGAAATTCTATAAAAGCTTAACAAATGCTTTTTTTTTCTATGGTATTAAAACACTAGTGCAAAGTGTTATGAAATTAACCTAAAGCAGAGTGAATATAGCAACAGACTTGGAAGCCACTCCTCACATATTCACCAAAAGTACTCATGCTCTATGTTTCTGCACTAGCGTCAAGTGATGCGTCATACAAGTGAAGATGGTTTTTTCTTGGTGCAGTTACTCCCATAGTCTCTGTCACGTCTAAATCACAGGGTTTGAGACCATTTGGGAGTTTCCAGTCGAAATGGTAGAGCAGAAGAGCTAAAGGAAGTTCAACATTTGCTAAACCAAATGAAATTCCAGAGCAAATTCTCCTTCCTGCACCAAAAGGGATATACTCAAAATGAGTTCCATTGAAATCAATCGAGCTGTTCTCGAATCTCTCTGGTCTAAAACATTCTGGATCATCCCAATACTCGAGGTCTCTTCCAATTGCCCAAGCATTAATTATAACTCTTGTCTTGATGGGAATGATATACCCATCAATCTCAGTTTCCCGCCTACACTCTCCTGGAATCAACATAGGGATTGGAGGGTGTAGCCTCAAAGTTTCTTTGATCACTGACTTTAGGTACTTCAATTCTTGAATATCAGTTTCTTCAATTGTTCTCTTTGCTATGAAGGCTTTCCGTATTTCACTTTGTGCCTTGACCATCACTCTTGGATTTCTAATCAGCTCGGACATCGCCCATTCCACTGTTGTAGTTGAAGTTTCTATTCCCCCTGAAAAAACATCCTGCATCAATGCCAAAATTCTTTGTTACAAACAAAACAGGCAAGTTAATCACGAAGCTAAAACTTAGTTGTTAACTATATATCATTTGGCATTCTTTAGAACTCGCAATCCTTTTATTCTAAAGTTGTTGAAAGCAATTAAAACTCAAAAGGGCTTTGATTTTCTTCCTCCACGCTTTCACTAGCATTAGAATCTAAATACTAGGTTCTTCATTTTTAAAGTCAACGTGTTTGATAAAATATAAAAGAATTTGAAGAGTATCAGAAGTGAAAACGAGAAAGAATCTTACTATGATCACAGCTTTGATGATACTGTTCGTAATTGGGAAATGAAGGTCACCGCTTTCTTTAACTCGTAGAAGAACATCAATTAGATCTTCTTGGTCAGATTCACCTATGGCTGTTTCTGTCTTTGCTAGATTGTCAATATGCTTATCGATTATACAGTCCAAAACTCTGCAGTGACAGTAGAGGATGAAGGATCTTGAGGGATGGAAACAGATCAGAAATGTCGAAAGTACCAGAAAGGCTTGTTAATTCCTTGATTAATGGCAAAACTGCCTCGTAATTATCTTTGCTTACTCTCCCAAATGCTGCTCTGCAAACCATGGAACTTGTATGTGAGGCTAGATTTTCTGTTAAATTGATTAGGTCTCCAGCACTAGCCAGAGCCTTAATTGTTGTAACAAGAACAGAAGCCTTGTCTTGCCAAATGGAGCCAAACGTAGTTCGCCATATCGGCCGATACCTATACGTATTGGTCGAATTGGAACCGGAATGAAAGGGACTGATACAATATCGATCCCCGAATCTCGGATATTATCATATCCGCGACGACTCGCTCTGACTCAACCGATATTGGCTGATTCGAATCTGTGATATATGATATCGGCTGATATATCCGAGTCAACTTGGAGTCGACTCGGATATTTTTTTAAATTATGCCTTTTTTGGTATTTTTTAATTTTAGTAATTTTTTCAAAATTTTGGGAAACTTTCAAGTGTTATAATGTGCGTATCACCCGATATTCATCGATATGCCGTGACAAATGTGAAACAATCGAGACCACAACGCGACCGTGACCCACGATGGCGAACCATGGAACCAAATGATCGGACATGCTTAGCATTTAGAAATTCCAGGGTACATATTGTGAGACCCCGAAATTTTATTTGTCTTTATAACTCTTCTTTGAACTTACTTGCCTTAATTCTTGGTTGTTTTAATGATTGAATGTGGGGCAAGGGAGTGAATTTTTTTAAGAAAAGTTTCATAATCTCAAGTTGTTAGAAAATCTAGAAATTTTCACAGGAGGCTCTGCGCAGCTTTGGAAAATTGGCTATAACTTCGTATAGAAAAGTCGGAATTGAGTTCCGTTTGTTGCGTTTGAAACTAGACTCATAAGGATTCCTACGGAGTAAAATTTAGAGTTTGATTCAGTCTCTATACATTCCAGAAATTTGGTAAAGTTGACTGAAAATTCTGTCCTGCACAAGTAAACATAGGAATGTTATAGTAGCTTATGGCTCAATTTGGACCAACTGATGAGTTGAATTTTTTTGAGGTGTCTTCTAAAGACTATTAGTGTTTTAAGTCTAGTTTTTAACAGATCAAGTTGTATGAATATTTGACATTTATAACTCAAGTTATGATTTTTCTAAAGAAAGGGCATAAGTTAAGGTTTTTTGTGCATACTAGGGTTTTTGGTGTGTTTTTTGTACATTTTGGTAATGTGATTAGTTGGTGAGGTGTGTATATTAAATTCGGTGGTTATGACTGAGTTTTAGATAAGAGAAAGTGTGTGATTAGAAGTGATAATAATAAGTTAGTGAATCATTAGTGAAAACACTAGTATAGGCGAGTTAAGGAAAATCGGTTTGAACCGACGTGTACCGTTTGCTATTGATTGAATACACCATTTGAACACCACTTTATTACCTTAATCTCCTTGTTATTAATTGAGCAAATCAGCCCTAAATATCTCCTTATAGTAGCCGAAATTTTGGACTAAAAAAAAAGAGAGAAAAGAACATTTTGAGATTTAATCTTGTAGCGATACTTGGCGAAAATCCAACCAATTTTGACTAAACAAATTTCTTATCTTTCTCTTGGCTTTATTTCTTCTTGATTTTCTTCTTGGTTGGCAAAGCTTGAGGAGAGCAAAAAACAAGAGAGAAATTTCAACTTCCACCTTGAATCCATCCTTGTTTGAGTGAAATTAACCAAACTAAACCGATTAAACTTCTCTTTTGGTGTTTGGAAAGTTTTGTGTGGTGAAATTTTTGGAAGAGAGGGGTTTTTCACTTACAAGCAAATTTTGGAAGATATAATGATTGCCTTTCTTTTTCTCTTACTTAATCTTGTTAAAATTGGGATAAAAATTTATGTTCTTGGTTTACTATGATTAAGTATTTTGTTTTGGATGATATTATGGAATGTTTAGATAGGGTTTACATTTTTAGTCTTGATTATGGTTGTGTACCTAGTAATTGATGGTATTGAGTTAGTAATTGATGGTCTTGATGAGATAGTACTTGATAGTATTGTGCTAGGATATGAATTTGTAGAGTAGAAGTGAATTTCTAGCACTGATAGTGAATCTGCCCTGTTTTTGCACTGCATGTTCATCCATGAGAAAGGCCAAATCAGTTCTTACTCAAAACATGAAAGTTGTAGGGAATTGAGTTAACTATCAATACAATTTCAGCTCAATCGAAATACTGTAGCTTGTGAAATGACTAAAAAGCCCCCAACTACCCAAATGCCCAGTTTAACCGACAGTTTTCTATTTTCTCTGAGATTTCGCTTTTTGATCTTGAAGATGCTAGAACTGGGTGTTGATGTACTCATAGGAAATGTAGGTCTCTGTCTCAAATTTGAAACACCATAAAATTTACCCCAATCCGATAAGCGTAGTTTCAGTTATGACTGAAATGCCGGAAGATGTCAAACCTGTTACTTAGCTATTTGGCTTTAAAACTAGTTTCCAACTTTGGTCTTGGTGGTTTTATTGTTAGAATTGACTTGTAATTGGATGATATTGAGTCTAGTTGAAGAGCTGTTGTGTTAAGCTTATTTATGTGTTGAATTTGGGTTGAGTTGAGGAAAAAAAATGAAACCATAAATGGCTAGAAAATAGCGAATACAAAGGGCATGCTGTCCAAATTTTCTCTCAAAGGTTAGGCGAGTGAACTTGAGACTTGAGCAACGACTCAAGGTTGAGACGAATTTCGATTATTTATGGTATTCGAATTTTCTTTAGTAAGAGGTACATAAGCTAAATATTTTGCCGAAACTTGTACCCTTTAAAAAGTGAAAGTAGCGACCCTTAAGTATACGATTTTCTCGATTTTTCATACCAAGTGTGACTTCTAAACTATGAATCACTTCTTTATCGAAACTAAAAGAGCGAGCATGAATTTTTGAGAATTTGAGAAGTCATATGGCTACTACTTAAACAAGTTTCATTTACTTAATCTTCTTAAAGCGAAACTCCTATGTTTCAAACTCTAGTGGATTTTAAAATCTTAAATGATATTTTATTGCAGATTTGGACTCCAATCAAGGAGTTGTACCTGAACGTGAGTTTGACAAGCACTAAATCTTTGGTGAGTGCTTCCAAGTACATGATTGAACATGATACTTGATTTAAATACTTGATATTTGATTGGTTTGGTCGGACAAGGGTTTACTTTATCGCATTTGCCATAATGTGATATATACTTGTTTATTGTTGCAATTGACTTGATATACTTGTGTATGATGTGCGCACTCTCTGAAATTCCAGAAACCTTGTGGCTAGTTACTTGAGTCGTACCGGCAAGGGTTTGGTCGATTGGGTAACGAACCCTGGGTCTCTTGTTTTGTCGAGTGGAGTGATACCTTCTCGACTAATAGGTATACTCGAGTATTACCACCCGTATTTATTGAGGATTTTGAGCCCGCTAGGGGGTTTGGATGGTGGACGAAGATTGTAGCTAAGTGGTGCTCTACTGGACTAGTGGCTTTACTTGAAAGTTGACGGAGTGTGAACTACTACTTGATCAAGCTCTGGTGAAACAACCGGAACTTGACTTCTGAGAACCATCCGTAACCTTATATTTTGAAATGATTATTATTTATCGAGTTATTATTTCTTTTTAAAAACTTTACACTCGCTCATTTTGAGATTTGCTACTGAAAGTGTTATTGCTCATTGTTATGAACTTGTTGTGGTCGCTACTTTGCTACTTTGATACTTGTACTTTTAAATAATGGTCAACTTACTATTTGGAGCCTCACTGAGATTTAACTCACTCTATTCCGTTAAATTGTTTTCCTTACAGGGCTAGGGCGTGAGACTGGTACAGGCTAGCATAGTCTAGTTTTTAAAATTTTGCGATTGTACTCGCACTAGTGCTCGGTTAGGATTGAATGTATCTGAAATTCATATCTTTTGTTATATTTGGGATTGTATGAACGTTTAAGATAGAAATGAATGTATTTATATGTTCCAAGTTTGGAACTGTTATTTCATTTATTCCTGAGGTTATAACGTATTTTGTTTGAAGTGAGTGAGTGAGTTCTAGCGAGAGTTGGACAGACGATCCGCTAAATTTTGGGGTACGCCCTAAGGGGGGGTGGGGTCGTCATACATATTTTACGCATTTGTCTCCAGTAATCACCATACTTACAGCAACCAATATCAGAACAGTTATAGCAGAAGATCTTAGCTGACAGAAACTTTGCCCGATTCGCAAAGGAAACATCATGTGTTTTCATAATCTCCTTTGCCAAATGTGGAGATGATACAACAATTGCAGAAATTTCACCCAGCTGAAGGCAATGTTTTAAAACTCGGACCGGAGAGTGAACCGAAAAACTTTCCGATTCACAGTTTGATCCGGTTCAATCGGTTCGACTTCGGTTTAAAGGTTTAATAATTTTTTATTTATTTTAGTATAAAAATTTTGAAAAAATAAAATATTTTTTTTAAAAATAAATACTTAATAAAAACCGGTTGAACCTCTCGTTTTTACCGGTTCAACGGGTTATTGATTGGTTTTGACCGATTCAATTAATTTCTTTGGATTTTTAATTGAACAAGACCGGAGGCATGCTTGATTCGTGGTTTAACCGGTCGAAGTGGCCGATCCGATCCGATTTTCAAAACATTGGCTGAAGGTGCATCAAAGCTTCGTGCTTTTGAGCTAATTTTCTGAGAGCATGATGTTGTGGGGATCCTATCAGATGATGCATATTTCCAATAAAAGGTAGCTTCCATGGAGATGGTGGCAGTTTTTCTGGGCTGTTTTAGATCGCTTCAATCCCTTGATGAGGCTTAAAACAAAGGCTAGGAAAAGCAAGAAAGAAATGAAGGTGAAAGGGGAGTTCCATTGGTTGAATGACTATCTTCTTGCATGCTTTCTTTGCAGTCCGCGTAGCCTCCTATCTCAACTACTACTTGTTTTGTAGCTCTTCCATCAGTAGTGATTTGTTTTCATAGGATTCGGCTGCTCTTCATCAGAGGATTGTAAGGCAAGCACGTGCATAGGATTTTAACTAATGATTCAAAAATACTGTAGCACTTTTTGGATAGTAGATTATTAGGGATAATTTTTAGAAAAAA